GCGAGCAGGCTGGCAGGCAGAGTGATTAGGGGTGATCAGGCAGGTGAATGGTTAGGACCCAGCGGTCTCTGTGGGATCAGGCCTAAACTGGCAGTCGGACATCCCTGAGGGGTCCAGATTGGAGAGGGTGCAGGCCGGGTTGAGGGACACCCCCACCCCGTGCACGAATTTTGTGCACCGGGCCACTAGTACAGATATAAAATGATCATATGTCAAAGATTTATTCAACTCATTAATTAATGAAGGAACCAATAAGATATTGCAACAAATTCAAAGGAGATTTCAAACCCTCACATATAGTTAAATAAGGAATCTTGAAGTGAAGTTATAAATAAATGCAAAACCTAGCAAACCTAATTTATATCCATCGGATAATAATTAATTGCATTTAAATTGACATAATTTGCATGTATGTGGACAAGAATTATTTGTACTACTATAACAGTAAATTTTTGTAAATTATATAGTTGTAAAATGGCTCAAAGTCAGTGAATGACTCTGAACCTATATCAAATTAGCTAATTGGAAGGGCATGCTAGAAAAATTGTTATGGGTCCAAATTCTCTGAAAGGCCAAGACTCAAAATACCAGAGTCTGGAGTAAGGAAAGGTTTATTGATTGAGAAGTTGCGAATTGAGAAGGTAGGGGTGCTAGCAGTTTTGAAAATTCATTTTAAGAAAGTACAGAATTCAGGCTTCTTTTATGTCAAGGGTTGGGACGGGGAAAATAGGAGGGGCTATTTCTGTACAAACTCAAGCCCCAAGCAGAATTTCTCTAATGATTAGCATCTCTAAAGCAGGCACTGTTAGCCTGAAGACCATTGAAACAATGTAGGTGTGAACAAGATGGAGTCATAGACACCCAGAATTTCACTGTTACAAAATGACTTAGCTTTCATTGACTACACTCAGTAGTGTTTCATTCATTTCAAAGCCTTTTACAACTTTATCCTACAATTTATTTTGTAATGTTTTTCACAATCGACCATATTTTTTCTAACTTTATTATTGACCCCTCTCTTTTCAAAACTCCTATTAATTCAAATTTATAGCTTCCCCAAACTTATTACTTCCCTTCTTGGGTTTCAATTGCCCTTTTGCAATCCTCATAAGAAATAAACTACAGAAGTATAATTAACTAAAAATTGATGGATTTCAGCCTGATAAGACAGGACATTTCATTAACAAATATAAAGTTGTTTTCAAACTTTATTTATTTAAATATGTAAATTATATGTTTCATTTTAATGGAAGTAGATGCTCGATTCTTTGTCAGAA